GTGAAGCTCTACCACTGACTTTACCCGATGTTCAAAGTTTGAGAAATGTATCATGTTCAGTTCCATGATGTAATTTATGTTTGTCATAAACTCCTTATCACACTAATCATACACTTTTAATCAATAATTATTATGAAATAAAGCTCACCAACCAACTATATTCATTACATGATTACTTTGACTTAAATGTAATTGTATCATTATGATTGTGGCATTAATGTGTCTATATCTCATAAAGTAGGTTTTGTAATATAATGAAAGTACATTCTACAATTTGTATCTTAAGGTCTATAACTCGTAAATTCAGTTTTGTAATATGATGAAAATATGCTCTACAATTGTATCATAAAGCCGATCATAAAGCAGGTTTTGTAAGATGATCTGCACAGTTGTATCTTAAGGGTGATTCCTTGTATCATACATTATTTTTTTCAAACAATTCCCTATGTCTATACTTTGCCAATAACAACCACCATGAGATGAGGTAAAGCAATGGAGATTGCATTATTGTATTGTGTTTTTCATGTGTTTATGTTTTTGCACTCTCATAATGCTTCCATCCCATTACTTTCATCTTGTAAGCACCAAGCAATTAGTTGGCTATCTTAATTTATTTCATTTTTCACTGCCCCATAGTTTGAAAAATCCTCCATCCTTGTTATGAGTAAAGCAAAACTCATGATCATATTCTTAATACACCAGCTTTACATTACAGATGAATCAAATTTAAATTTAATTATGTAGAACAACTATAAACATTTTTTAGTTAAAAAGTAAAATTATATTGAACCCGTTTGAGTTGTAACACACGATTTTAAGATTGTTATTTCGGTGTTTAGTTGTTGTAAGTCAAACCCCACACGGCTACCTGCATTTGCCATCGCTCGAATCCATTTATCAAATTCACACAATTTATTTATGTATTTACTTCTCAAGAATGAAGCTAAAAATGTAATTCATCTGAAAACAAATCTCCAACGGAGAAAGCCACCTTCCATGGCCGGTGCTGGTGCAGGTGCCGGTGATGGTGGTGCTAAAGCTTTTTCTGAAACAAGCACCCTTCTCGGAAATAATGAAATTGCCTGTTCTCGTCTTTGACCTAAAATAAAGTGAAGAAGAAAAAAAGCGCTAAATTTACTATGAGACGGTCTTACATAAACTTAAACTTTATGTGTGATAGTCATATTTTTTAAGCAAACATTCATATTTCTAAAGCCAAAAGACTCTATTTGTAAGTCATAAATATTACTGAAAGTATCATAAAAAAATTTGTTATATTCCAGCGGGAAATCTTACGTAAATATATTCTAATGAAATATTCCAATGGTATAACTTCCGCTGAAATTATTCCAACAAAAATCTTATGTTGGAATTAGTTGTTCATTGGAATTTTAGATGGAATTTGATGATTCCAACGATTATTTTTTCAACGGTTTTTCAATGTTGAAATATGCAATTTCTGTTGGAATTTTTATTTCCACCCCCGTTGAAAAATCTACGGTTGGAATCGTCAAAATCCAACGAAAATTTCAATAGAAAACTCATTTCAACATGATATTTTTATTGGAATTGCCGTTGGAATCTATTGGAAATTCTAACAGAAATAATAGCATTAAAATATCTACTAGAATTGCGGTTGGAATTCCATTGCAATATATTCTATTAGAATTTCATCATTTTCTTCTTCTAGTGTCTGATCATTACACCAAATGCACACATGGAGGTATCAACAATAGTTTTTGTGATATAAAAAAACAATGAAATATAGTGCAGGAAAAAATAAATATATACACTAATGAAAAAACTGACCAAAAAAATTAGTTTCAACATATATATAAATATTGATGTATATAAACAGAATTCCATACCATAGAACCTCTTGTGAAGATCAGCAGAGGCTGACATCTGAACGAGAATTGGAGTAACAATCATAAGGATGCCCCAGAAGAATAAGACCACCAAATATATTCTTACACTCATTGGTGACCAAAATATTTCATGGCCACTGAATTTATATTCATATTACAGATTAGCTGGCCATGTGTTACTAACCAATCATATTATGATGTTTCAAAGGTACAGGCAAGACAGTTCCGTTTGTTCTGGGAAGAATACAATACTTAATGCACAACACAATCATCATTCATTTTAAGGGAAAAAAAAAAAACAAAAACAAAAACAAAAAGGAAAGAGTAAAACATGGTTTTTGTTCCAAGCACACCAATATATTTGACAATATCAGTTGGTGCATTTTTTTTTATTGTATTTGGTTGTTGGAAGTTGTTGTGCCAAATGTGTTTGAGTGAGCATGACTTGGAATCCTTCTGGCATCTCTTTGCCAAGTCAAGGTCTAAAGATACATACACACAACTCCTTTTGCATTATCAATTTCAAGATTATGCACTTTACAATCTCTCTTTCGGTAGGTCAAGATTATGAGTACAAAACAAACTTGTGCACAATTTAACTCAATCTTAAAATGCTAACAAAACTGTCTATTAATGAACACATGAATTAAAACAAACTTCAAAACATGTAGCAATTTTTCGATTACTAATTTCATGATGGAAAATAGAAACCACTTTAATTGAAGCCTTTGAATAAAAAGTTTTGTAGATTGAAATTGTTCAAATTAATTGAAAACTGTGGTGCCTATGTTTCTCACTAGAGAAAATAATGGAAGAGCAGTTTAAACAAAGTCGATCACATTATTAGATGGTGAGTGAAAATGTCTAGCTTTCATTATACTAGTATTCGATCTTGTGCGCATGCACACAGATGCAAATAAAATTTTATATGCATCGACCTTGATATGCATCGAGGTCGGCTACTTTATCGGGATCTTGGAGGCTAATACCTCCGGGTCGGGTTGATCCTGTAAGCTCGACACCTTAAACTTGGGCCACTTGGCCGAGCACTGTTTCTCGGCCATAGTCAAGCTACTCTCTCATACTTAACGTATCGAGCTGTTTTTTGGGAAATATGTGATATATAATAAATAACTAGAATTATTGTGTTTGAAACCGTATCAACTTAATGAATAATGTAAAATATTAATAAAAATTTGCTAAAATGGGGTCAACTTAACCATAAAAAAGTATAGCTCTATTGAATGTCTCATTTGTATTAGGAATACTATTGAAAAAATAAATTTAATATAGTAATAAAATTATCATTTGATGGCTGGGTGAAATTAAGAATTTAAGTTTCACATTAGAAATATTTATATACATTAAAAAACGTTACAAGTAGTAAGAAAATATAATTTTTATTATATACTACTAGTACGTAACCCGTGCGATGCACGGGATGTAAAATTTGGAAGAATAATATAACTTCACGTGCATTAGGATCGAAATTGAAATCATTAAAATACATAAGAATATTGTTGAATCATAAAAAGTTCGGTAACAATCAAATATTATTAAAAACCTCCTTGTACACATTATGAGTTTGATTATTTGGTAACTCCTCATTATCACAAACTAATATTTTCAAAAGAGACAAATCCTAAAAATCAAACTAATATTTTTGGTGAACAAACTAATATTTTAAAATTTATAGGATTTGTCTCTTTTTTGTGAACAAACTAATATTTATGATTGGTTACATGAATAAGGCTACCTGTTTTTGGTGTTCTTTCATTCATTTTCATTCAAACAATCCGATGACTTGTATAATGAAATTCGAATCTTAAGCCGAAATATTTAAAAAAGGAGTTTTTAAAAATTGAAAAGTCAAGGCAATCAGTTCAAATTAATTAAAGGTCAAAGAATATCCACTCTTTGAAATAAAGACGTGTGCTATCATTAACCAAATATCCGGTTATAGATATAGAGTGGTTACCAAAAAATAGAACGCGATAAGGACGCTTCATGGAAATATCAATGGAATAAGGTCATAACAGATCGCTATACATTTTAACGATAAAAGCTCAGATGGAATGATTTATGATAATTATGTCGTAATTAATGAATTAATGAGAAGTGTGAAAATGACATAATTAATGAGAAGTGTGAAAATGACATAATTAATGAGAAGCGTGAAAAGGACAAAAACTTACCGGTTTTGGAAAATATTTAATGCAATCCGACATTGACCATAATTTGACTTACTATTTTGGATAAATGTTAATTCTTATTATATAAGTATAGATTTGATTTGATAAAGAAAAATAAGTAAATAAAATAATACAGTCAAATATCATAAGTAAATTTATAGAATTTGGTAATAATTTAAACTAGTACAATACATGTGTATTACACGGGTGTTGAATTAGAAAGCTTTTGTAAAAAATATTAATTTTTTTTAAACTTAAATAATTTAATTTTATATAAAACATTACTTTGGGTTCTAATTAAATTGTCAAATTATATTTTTTTAATCATAATAATTAAACACCCGTACATTAAATGAAATGTCAACTCGTGTTGAATTTTCTTACTTATATCATATAAAAATATCGATACATAAGTACAAAAATATATATCTTAAATAAATAGAAATAATATGGTGATATGTATATGCATAAGTGTAGAATATGTTTATTTAATATTAAGAAAAATAGATTAATTTTTTTTTGCTTAATTAGATGCCTAATACATCAAGTGTCGTATCAGTCGTGCTTCACAGTTTTTTAACTTTATATGTAATTTTAAAATTTAGATAAATAATTATTTATTTTTATTAGATTGACAACATACCAATTAGATTTGAAGTAAATATCATTTTTAAAAAAATACATATCAATTTCTATTACTTTATAATAATTTATAGTTTTATTTGATATAATTTAATTTAATCTGATAAATAAATTTAAATTTTATTTTAAAGGATATATATTACTGTTTTTATTTTATATATATATAATATGGATGTCAAATCGAAAATCGTTAAAAAAGATGGTTAATTTGATATATCATATATCAAAAATAAAATATTAACAAAAAAGTTATAAAATCTTAATAAGAAGAAGAAACATTTATAAAAACTAATGGATTTAGTGTGATAAAAAATAGTGTGATAAAAAATAATAATTATTATCCAAGCTTAACTCCAAAGCATGACTTTTTGCCAAACTAGTATGAGTCCCGTGCACTGCACGGGTAAGAGATATTCATTAATATTTATAAATTAAAATTTTTTTATTAAATAATATTTGTAAATTAAAAATATAGAATCAAATACCTATATTAATTTGTTGAAAATATTATATAAAGTTTAAATTGTGAAAAATTACGTAAAAATGTGTATTTAAAATTAGTACACAACCCATGCGATACATATAACTGATAATAAATTACATTATATTCGTTTCAAAATAAGTGTCATTTCATATTTTTTATTCAGAAATTCGATTTGACTATAATGTGATTACATAAAATAATTATTTTGGTAAAATTTTATCATATATTTAACAACATATGTGAATAATAATTATAAATATAAAATTTATATTGTTTCATTACTTAAAATAATTTATTTTTGTATAAACTATTCAAATAAAAAAAATTAAGTAGTTGAGTAATTTATTGAACTATAAATAATTGACTATTTCATTCACGTCCAAGTTAATATTGACCCGTAAGTTATGAATAATTGTTTTTTTTATTTTTAATTTTAAATAAAAATATTTTTATTTTTTTTATATATTATATACCAAATTTAAACTATGCAACTAATAAAGGTAATAGCTGCAAGTTCTGTCAATATATTATATTTCACATTTAAATTATTCAACAAATAAAGGTAATAGCCGCAATATTTGACCAAAATAATTTTGTACATTAATTACATTAACTTAGGCAGGATTTTTCAAACCTTGGCAGGAAAAAAGAATTGCCCAATTTAGTAATTCTGAATTTTTAGGCGGGAAAACCAAATATTTTTTTATTGATTTTTAGTTACTATTTCAAGTAAATATCATTGTCTTTTTATATATTAATAGATGTCATATTTTTGTAGCGTGCTATGTCACGGGAACGATTTGGTGATTATTAGATATTTAATGATAAATTGTTTGATTCAAATAATTTGTTGACATTAACGTGAAAAAAAAATATTCTTTAGTAGTAAATTTAAATTTATATCATTCATGATATTAAATATTCAATATTTGATTTTATGTTTATATTAAGTACATATTACTTAGGTCACATAATTTCATAATTTTTAATTACTTATTTTGATTAATAATCAAATAATTTATTCCTTTTTCTTTTGAAAATCTAAGGACTCTTTTTTTTTTCTTCCCCAACGAAATGAAATGAGTCTAAAATAATATATAATTGGATGTGATTTACTTGCCAAACATTGGATGTGATTTATTGGTTAATAAATTGTTTAAGCGGGACATGCAAAAAATTTCAAAAATATTTGCTGAAAATTGTTCAAAACGAAAAATAGAAGCGGGAAAAAATGACTAAAGAAGCGGGAAATGAAATATTTTTTTCAAAGTTTTTCAAATAGTTTTTCTTCTCCTTATTATATAGTAATAGATAGGATTACAAAGCATGAGAGTTTGTCCCGTAGGCTCAGCACATTCTGAAATTATATATAGAGGGAAGGGATATATAATTTATCTAAATATTTAAATTGAATATTAATACACTCATTATATATGTTGAAAAAGTGAATTAAAGATATAAATATAGACAAAAAAATTCAAATATAAAATAAAATAGTTTACTATGAAAAAAAAAATTGTTGCACACACGACCAAAAAAGTTAGTTATCTAGAAATATGCAAAATATAAATTATTTAAAAAAGATATAAGACCAAGATAATCGATAATTTTATAAGTAAATGTAAATAGTTTGTATACAAACATCATATTTAAAATCTTAAGTATTTATAATACTTTATCAACTATAAACAGTGAAATTTATATATTAAGTAAGTGAAATTTATATATTAAATAGTCATGACTTACAAAAATAAATTTAAAACTAAAAATATTCATTTAAACTTTATATTGCTACTAACTTGATATATTGTGTCGAAGAGAGTTAGAATATTATCTCAAATAATTTAACAATATATCTTCTTCGCACGAGTATCCATTCCAACATTTACCGCAATTTTGGAACTTCTTGTATAGGAGTTCCACTGTCCACGTTCGACGATTTATCGGCCAAAAACTCTGACCTCAACTGCATCAGCAGCCTCCCAAGATGGTTTAGGCCTTCCCCATCTCGGCCTCCACCCCAGAATAGGTCGTGTGGTGAAGCTTCAACAAGAACAGACCCGTTGGTCGAGAGCAGCATTGAGGTTAAATCCGGGTAAGTCGACAACTTACACTTTAAGGCCCTGTACATGATTTCGATCTTGACAGAGTCCCAGTCAGGTCTCACCTGCACAGGACAATACAAAAATCCAATACAGTGGTTATGTATGATAACCAAATAAATGTCCTATAAAAAATCCATAAGAACAATATAGCCCATGGAGCATGTGGAGATGTTACTAACACATACTAGTCTTCTCTTCACAGCAATAAAACAATAGTGACTACTACCAATAGAGCATAAGCAATGATTGTGTCCCCAAAAATAGATGTTTTCAAGTTCATAAAGGCAAATTTTTATGTTATCCAACAGGTATGTAAGGATGATATTTCATCTTGGAGTACTATATGCCAGTTTGTAGAAATAGGGGTGCATATGTAAATATATCAAAGAAATCAATTAATGTACTCAAGTCAATTATTATATATTTCAACCACCCTTTAAAAATCCTACTTAAATAGACCGCCAAAGGCCATTGAATATGCCAGCTAAAGCATACAAGGCACACCTGCCCCTCTCAAATTTTGATTTCATTATATAATTGAGGTGAAAATTGATACCAAATATGGGTGCTGCCTCTGTGTTCTCCTTCCAAGTCGTGCTGCTTCCTCTGGGCTTTTTGCGTTTTTTATCTCTTCCAAACATTTTTTGGCAATAGTATTATCTGACCCGACAAACTTGTGAGCCTAAAGATTTTGATGAAGCACANAATCAGGGCAAGAGAAGTATGCGGCATAAACAACAGTAGCTAACCAAGAAAGCAACCTGGTAATAGTGCTCCACACTGGGCCAGCTATAATAATCTCCATTTTCATCAGGCATTTGAATCGGATGCAAAGAGAAGTTTGAAAAGGCGCCATAAGGGTCCCACGTCTTATAAAAGAATATGATGCTTGCTTCATAAGGAGAAACATTAGGGTCGATCGCAAGAGTTTCATCATAAGATGGGATTACGGGGGACAAGTCTGGAACCGGATGAAGGAATCCACTTACAAGCATGTCCGGACCAACCTGCAATTGCATGCTAAAAGTTGTGTCACCAATGCAGTGACTGAAATCTTGACTAGAAAAACATGAATGCTACTACAGCTAGAAGTTATGTTTGTCCCATGTGGATTGGAGGCTCTTTGAACTATTTTGAGGATGAGTTCTACTCAAATCTATTTATCAGCTATCAACAGTCATTATGTTTTTTGTGGTGACATCCTTAAGGGAATTAAAAATGCATTCCTACAGATGACAGGGTCTTAATGATATGAATTCCTCCTATAATCCTTAGCATGATTGCATTATTGAAGCTGGATTTCAAAATACGCCGTAAAGAATACATTCATCATGCTGCAAGTGGTGCTCTAAAAATTGGTGCCTAGGCGCTAAGCGGCACCAAGCACCTCGATATTGTCTAGGCGGACTTTCTAGGCACTCGGAAAATTAGGCGCCTTCTAGGCAGGCTAGGCAGCACTTAGGCATTCGTGGCTGCTGCAAAATTAGCCACGTTAGTTAGGCAGCCCAGGCGGTAACATATATTTCTTTTTTACATTCTTTTTATTTATCTTCAAAATATAATAAAAATAGTTCCAATTTTTACACACTGAATATACAGTAATTATAAAATTTAAAAAAATAATAATACAATGTAATTGATTAACATATTTTATATGATGTATCTTGCGAATTATGTATGATGATAAATATAAATAAATGTATTAATATTTTTACAACCCAGACAACGCCTCGTCTAATCCCCGTTTTGGCGCTACGCTCCATCCCACCAACTAGCGAGCGCCTAGCGTTTTTTAGAACACTAGCTGCAAAGCAAAAAGATACCTAGCTCAACTATGAACTTTATAGTTGGAAAAAGAACAGAAAGA